AAACTAAGCGCAATGTCGCCGCGCCGTGCGTATTTATCCCGTTCAAAGCAATCCAGATCGTTCTCGAACACTAACGCGCTGGTCCGGCTGGTCGGTTCTAGCCGATTCTAGCTTGATGGCGTCAGCGGCAGATCGCTCACCACAACGTTGCCGCTGTTTATGTTTAATATCATGATAATTAGATTTTTTTGTGGAATTTTCGGAAGCTTCTCTGATTTTTGCAGTTTGTTTTTTTTAAATTAAAATCATTGTGAGAGCTACCAGAATTGCCTCCGCGTGCTACCGGTAGCTCGCGATCGACAGGTTGGCAACCACGTTCTAAAGTATCTAAAGTAAGGTTAGACTGAGTTAGGTTAGGTCGGGCTAGGTTGGGTTGAGTTAGCATGTGAGGAATTACGGAATTTGAATCTAATTTTAAGAAACTTGGCAATAAGTGGATGAAAAGAGATAGAGAAAAGTGCGATGATATGGAAAAACGTGTTGAATAAAAAATATGTGAATTGCAATCGTTTATTGCTTGAAAAAAAAAAGAAAATATGACACCATACAAACTTTGACAGGCTATATCTCGAAAACTAATTGAGTCCGACAAAAAATAAAAAGTGTTCTGAATTCCTACCGTCACGTAGTATCATCACAGAAAAATTGCGTAAATTCGTGAGTATCCCATAAAGTAAAATGTTCCCCTATCTTTTCCAACCGACATTATATTTTTTCCTAAATACTCTTTATTGTACCAATTTATTTGTTGTTTGTAGTATGAAAAACATACAATTTCCTGGGTGCAAAATTAATAAGTAGTAAATTTTGAGAGCAAAATATAGAAACGATCATTCACAAATTGTATGGGTGATTTTGTAGCTTTTGGTTTGGCAGTTTCGTTTCCATTCTAATATTTGGATTAATTTTCAGGATTATTCAAATTATTACAACGTTGGAGGATTGAAACACATCGATGAATATTTTTCCATGAGCTTTGGAGAAGGGTGATAGACGGGTCATTATCACAAAATCAAACTGCAATATATTATGGAAGAACAATCATTTATTCATTTCGAGATTAACTTATAACCTAATTACAACTTGACTTTATCTGCGAGAGAACAAGACAAACCCGTACCGTCGGGTTCCACTTGCAGAGATGTAATTTTTCCATCTTCGATGACCATTGAATACCTCTTACTCCTAATTCCGCCCAGCGGAGGAATGTCGACAGACAAATCTAAAGCCTTGGCCAATGCGGCCGTTGGGTCGGCCAGAAGTCGCACTTTTCCTGCGGTGTTTTGGTCCTTTGCCCAGGCCGCCATAACGAAGGGGTCATTGACTGATACACAGACAATTTCTGCGACTCCCTGGCTCTTTAGTTCGTCTGCTTTCTTTACATACCCAGGAAGGTGAGTCTGGAAAATGAAATTGTTGATGGATTGAAGTTTTAACTGTATTTACATTCAATAATTCTCACATATGCATGTATTTATTTCTTTGGGATACTTTTTTCAATTAAAAGAACTTATCGACAGGCCTCTTAGTAAAAACCCTGAGGAATGCACAATTATTTTTATTTATACTAATAAATTTAATTTGCCGAATGCATGATTATTCTTATCGAAACACCTTAGAAATTTAAATACAAATCCTTTTTATATTAAAAAAACCGCTCTCTTTTCATTTACATCCCATTTCATGTATCATATTCAAAATGAAACAGTCATGAAAATTTCAGCTTTACTCAAAATAGCTATTTTTTTAAATTAATTCTTGAAAACTACACAACATAAAAAATAAATAGTCGAACTCTGGCTAGTCTTTTTCTGATCTATCAAGAAAACAACAAACATCTCGGAACATTGCGACTTTGCCCATGTACTATAACCAATTGAAAATGACTGATGACTTTTCAATTACAAATTACACAGTATCTGTGGCATTCCATGAAACTGGTAATTGTTTGCTTGTAATTACCCAAGTCGTAACATTGAATGACTTTCATGACTCGCTAATTTATTCCAAGGATGGTTTTTCCACTTACCTTGGAGCAGCCAGGCGTAAAAGCTCCGGGAACCGCAAAAAGGATGACTTTTTTTCCGGCAGATAACTGGGCCAAGTTCACCTTGTTCGTTGGAAGATCTTCATACAGGTCAACATTTGGAACTGAGTCTCCCTCCTAACAAAAAAAGAAATACATCAAAATATGAATACAAACAAAATATTCATATGTTTGTAAAGTACAGTCTTGGCCTGCTATTTACAGTTATGTAATTAATGCGATTAATGCCTAATATCGTAAATTTGTATGCACTTACTTTAACCATTTTGATGACTGTGGTCTGCAAGTATCTCTGGAAATATGCACTAACCGGTTTTTTCAGCTCAGTGGACAGAATCTTTCCAATACTAGTAAACATTTTCCGTAGCAAACGCTTTTATATATAACTCTTACCTCTTTGTTCAACCAACAGTCTAAGCAGGTTATTTAAACAAAGAACGAAAATATGACATTGATCGTGGAAATTTCCACTGTCAGATGATATTATCGAAGATCGAAGTTATTACATTGGGTACTTCAATCTTATACACGTCTAAAGGTTAGTCATATTCAAAAATTTTCACGCAACGATGCTGAGCTAGTGACGTTAGCAATGGTATGTATGTTCGTTCACTGAAAATATTTAAATATGTGAATTCAAGTCTTATGGGGATTTGAAGTACCCGCAAAATGTCAATATATTATAATCATGTAGTTATGTACAGTTCTGTCAATTCGTGCTATCGTCATTGAAGTTTCCTATCCAAAATTCTGATCAGTATATAATTTATACTCTGTTTAAATCCTCCATATATACTTTCAATATCAGCAAACTTTGGAATGTTGTTTTATTATTCATATAAACACAGCTAAGCAATTCTTTTTATATTTATATCACAACATGATTGTCTTTCATTTGTTTTCTACAGTGACTCTTTAAAATGATTTTTTATAAAATTTGTTACGATTTAGTCAAGTAATATATTCACAAAGCTGGGCTAGTTTCCTGAAATTAGAATGAAATTCCATAATTTGTCAGGTGCACACAAATCAATTCTTATAAACTGCATTAAGTTTCACTATTCGAAAATACGTTCCTTTTAGAATTTAGAGGTCAGGTTAGATGTTGAAGATACATAGTTTTTGAAATTCTAAAGTATCTTAAGTAAGGTTAGACTGAGTTAGGTTAGGTCGAGTTAGGTTATGTTGAGTTAGCATGTGAGTAATTACGGAATTTGAGTCTAATTTCAAGAAACTTGGCAATAAGTGAAATAAGTGAATGAAAAGGGATAGAAAAAAGTGCGATGATATGGAAAAACATGTGTTGGATAAAAAATATGTGAATTGCAATAGTTTATTGCTTGAAAATAAAAGGTAAAATATGACACCATACAAACTTTGACAGGCTATATCTCGAAAACTAATTGATTCCGACAAAAAATAAAAAGTGTTCTGAATTCCTACCGTCACGTAGTATCATCACAGAAAAAATTGCGAAAACCATGAGTATCCCATAAAGTAAAATTTTCCCCTATCTTTTCCAATAATTCGGTTTATTTTTGTGGACCACAGAGCAAGTTAACCTTTTGAAACCGACATAATATTTTTTCCTAAATACACTTTATTGTACCAATTTATTTGTTGTTCTCGGTATGAAAAACATACAATTTTCTGGGTGCAAAATTAATTTTGGTTTGGCAGTTTCGTTTCCATTCTAATATTTGGATCGATTTTCAGGATTATTCAAATTATTACAACGTTGGAGGATTGAAACACATCGATACAACAGCGTCAAAGAAAAACAAGAAAATCTTACCCTCCATAGAATATGAAAATGAAAGAAAATGCCCGATATACATCCACCAATTCAATAAATTCTCCAATCTTAGCATAACCAACAACTACTCTCCGAAAACTTATAATAATTCAACTGTTGTAAAACAACGGAATTCGAAAATAGGCAAACCGAAACACCCCAAGCTGACTCTGGACAAGTTGGAAGAAACGTATTGGGCAACTTGGAAACCCAACAAGGAAACTAGAACACCAAAAAGCCCAAAGATGAGGAGTGAGAAACAAGCGAAACTAGAAAATAAGCGCAGGAAAAACGAAACGGAACACGTTATGAAATATTTTGAATCCCTCGATTTTCCAAATTCTAGTGGATCATGTTTGCATGGCCCGGAAAATTCTAGTGAACCGGTGGACTCGTTAACGAACACTCAGGAAATACAGACCGACTATTTGCCTCCGTTGATGACACCGGATTATGTTAAACATTTGGACAGTGTGATTTCCATTTCGGAGAAAAAGAAAAAAGCTACAAAATCGGAGATCAGTTACAAATCACAGATCAGTAACAAGACACAGGTCAGTAACAAATCGCAGATCAGTAACAAGTCGAAGATCAGTAACAAGTCACAGATCACTAACAAATCGCAAGAAACAATGGTTGAGAGATTCAGGGAATCCCAGGTAACTGTAATATCTGCTGAAGATAATGTATCCTGTGAGACTATTTTCAAAGATGATTTAAATTCGAACGAAACCCTACTAAGTGAGGACTTGAGAAGCTCAGGCACGTTAGTGAAAGAAGATGACTCGAAGGAGCTGAATACTTCAGCAAAATCTTCTGAAAAGTCCATGAAAAAGCTGCTGAATCATACGGATTCTTTCATAATCCACAGAAAGAAGCAAGACGAAATCAGAGATGTCGTTCAACAACCCAGGTGCATAAAACTGTATAAAAAGACGCCGACAACTTTTCTGAAGGGGGGGTCCTATCCGCTGAAATCCTGCATAAAGAAAGCATCTACGGAGAAGGGAAATTTTGCATGTGACTTGACATTATGCCATGACGACCTGCAATTTGAAATCGGTCAAAAAGAACCAGGTAAATTGCATTCATTTATAAGCAATAGCCAGTTTGGCCTTCAATAAAAAAATAACACCCACGATGATATCATTATTTGTTATACAATGTTTATGGTAATATTAATAAAAAAGAGGCATCCGTAGCAGTGTTCTGTGACTGCTGAAGCCTTTGACTGTGTAGATCACGGAATACTGCTGAAAAACCTCCATTATTACGACATCCGTGGAATTACTCATAGATAGTTCGAGAATTATCTCACAGTAAGAAGTCATATTGTGAAAACCTCATCATCCTCATCAGAAGGCGAAATAGAAAATGGAGTATCACAAGTTTCAATACTGGGGCCGATACTTCTGTTGTTATACATAAACGATTTAACAGCTAATGATACTGAAGAATTTTCTAAACAAACATCTGGAGCTTCACCTTGTTGTTTATGTAACCATTACATTACTCTTTTGAATTGTTTCTATTTCACAATGTCATGTTCATATTTCAAACGTATAATGATAAAAAAAATATCTCTGAGATTGATCAGTAGTTTTCCCTCCAGAAACGTGTGGTTTTCAATCTCTTTATTATCTGTAATCGATATTTGAATTTCAAATGAAATTATTTATTTGTTTGATGTAAATATCACATCTATCTCTAAAGTTTATTTGAATATATGAAATTTCACATATTTTTCTTTTCAGAATTACCCAATTAATCGAGTTGTGTGCGCCACTTTCGGTGGAGGGGCAATCACAGTCTACTTTAGGGGTAGTATGACCAGCATTAACCCAGGTTTCATCCATATAATAAATTGTTCTCTGTTGTTCCCTATAATATTTAATTTTGGTCAAATACTCTCTCCTCCATAACACAATTTCCTCTCTATCCAATAATAAACTATTGCGCCCTCGTTTTTTCCATACAAAATTCAAATGTTTCAATACTTTATGGAATGTTGTCCGCTTAAAACTTGTCAATAAAACATCTTCATTTATTTCTGTGAGTACTTTGTTTATCGTGGGTATCTATTTCATTTCTGAAAAAGTACTCATGCACTTTCCTCCTGATTGCATGTTCATCAGCATCATCTATTAATTTTATAATGGTTTGACGATTCTGATTTGTATTCGGTTTGGAAAATGTATGATTTTGTTTATATTCCCGTAAAACATTGTAAATCGAAGCGCAACACACTCCAATTTTATCGGAAACTTTCGATACGACTTCGTCGACAGTCGATGTCTCAATTTCTTCCATCTCTTTCTTGAACACATTTAAAATCACTTCTTTCATCTCAACACTCAAATGTCTTTTTTTGGATCGTTTCCTGGCTAGACTCAGAGGATAGCTCACAGTGTCATCAGCAGTGTCTGTACTGGACATCTTGGAAAACAATTTTGAACAATATACAATAACGCACGCCACACAAACACGAAAAAGACTGATTACAACCCTGTGCTGGTACCGAACTCGTTCCAAGAAGGCGAATTCGCCAATGAACGCTGCCCTTTCCATCTGACACTGGGCGATCACGTGAACATCACGCTTCGGTTTCGTTTTGTTTTACTCTATCTTGGATTTGGATAGACTTTAGTTGGAGATGAAACCCATTTCAGAAAACAATGACTGAAACCATTAAAAATACCGGGGCATTGAAAATTAGACAACACACGCTATTTTTAGATTGTCGTACCTAATCTTACGATGGACGTCATGTACGGCAAAAACTGTCCAATATGGCCAGTTTGTCGGACAAAAGCACACTCCATTCATCTCAACACTCAAATGTCTTTTTTTGGATCGTTTCCTGGCTGGACTCAGAGGATAGCTCACAGTGTCATCAGCAGTGTCTGTACTGGACATCTTGGAAAACAATTTTAAACAATATACAATAACGCATGCCACACAAACACGCAAATAACTGATTACAACCCTGTACTGGTACCGAACTCGTACCAAGAAGGCGAATTCGCCAATGAACGCTGCCCTTTCCATCTGACACTGGGCGATCACGTGAACATCACGCTTCGGTTTTGTTTTGTTTGACTCTATCTTGGATTTGGATAGACTTTAGTCGGAGATGAAACCCATTTCAGAAAACAATGGTTTCACCATTAAAAATACCGGGGCATTGAAAAATAGACAACACACTCTATTTTTAGATTGTCGTACCTAATCTTACGATGGACGTCATGTACGGCAAAAACTGTCCAATATGGCCAGTTTGTCGGACAAAAGCACACTCGACACAGTTCGTTTCTCCTTTGAAAGCTTTCAACAGGGTGTTTATGAAACGAGAAACAGCCAGCGCTGGTGATAAACACACAGTTCCACAGTCTGCGTATAACTTCAATACATCATCTTCGCTGTTGCCAATCAATTGTTGCACAGACCCTGGACATTTCTGAAATGAAACAAATGATATATTTTAATAGAACTTCACGCTTGGGACTTCAATATAAACCTCACCAAATCCAATTCTTTTGGTCTGACTTGCGACAAAACTGCCACCACGCAATTTGTACTGGAGCCTCCAACAACTGGGCAGACTATTTCGGAGGCACCGCGTCCAGTTGCTGCAGCAACTTGGCTATTCGCTCTCATCGAAGTCACGTTTGTTATTCCGATTATTTTCCTGCTGTCGTACAGTCCCGCTTTCTTGTATTCCTATATAATAAAGATGGGAAAGTTTTCGAAAAATCACATTACCAAAATTTTGCAGATTCTTTCGAATATTTTCACTTGCAACGTAGACAGTAATATTATGTATTTTTCATAAAGCATTAGATGTTAATGTAATGAAAATAGTCCTGAAATAATCCGACATAACAAAAAATAATCATTTTGGGAATGGTATATTCATTTCTCTCTCTATATACACTCCTCAAAACCATTAAAGGATCACTTCTTTTTGATAATCGTGTACGAGAATAAGTTTAATGATTAATATAATAGCATGTCCTTTGGAATTTACTCTTTTTGGTAATGATGTTCGTGCCAGAAGGAATAAACGTTTTATTCCCTGCTGTTTACCTTCAAAAGAGTCCCATTTGGAGGTGGATCAACAATGGTGTGGGGTGGAATAACATTCAATGATCGTACATACCTTGTAGTCATCCGCAAGGGATCCCTGATCGCCTGCAGAAGCAGAGAAGGTCACGCTTTCATTTTTATGCACGATAACGCCGTCTCTACCCTACAGGGATCGTGGGTCAGGCCCTATAAGCCCACAATATCGCCACTTTGGGGTGGCCCGCTTGCAGCCCGGACCTGAACCCCATCAAACATGACTAGGATCAACTGGGAAGAAGCATCCGAAGCCGTCAAAACCAACCCACCATTTTGGATGAGCTGGAAATCGCTCTTCGAGAACGCAAAAACAATTTTTTGTTTACTTTTGATTTCAATAATTGAAGGGTTTTGATTTTGGTACCTCTTTAATTTTCCCACTTGTTTGGCGGTTTCTTTGTGAGATTCCTTGCAACCACCAACAGCAACAACGATATCTGCATCCTAATGAAAATAAAAACTATGTTAATATTCAGCTCCGTAGGAAGTTTCGAAGGAGAGGCCTGCTCAAAAAGTGGTTAGACCACCACTGAAGATGTGCAGTTAGACCTTTGAACTTTCCAGATCTTGGTTAGTACATCAGAAGTGTTCCTGTTTACATCTAATGTGGCTAACCCTTGTTATTATTCGAGGATTGTTGTTTTAGACAGGATAAAGAGGAAAGCGGAAGTAGTACTGATGTTATAATCCAACAGCAATAGTAGGTACCTGTATCTGTAGAGTAGGGAGGGTGAGTGTAAGCTCACAACACTAAGGCCACATGTGACCCTTTGTACATCCTCCCGAGGAGTTGTCCTCCTGTCTTCGGCTGTTAAGCGTAGATTTTTCCTGGTCATCGCCAGATATTTCTTCGGCGCCAGCTTCCCAAGGTCGCCCAGTGTGATCCTAGCAAGATTGCATCCTTTGATTCCATCCCATCTCTTCATGGATTGAGCATGGGTGTAATATTTCGATAGTTCAGGCATCAGGCGGTGGGTGCCACTGGCTCCTAAAATTCTTAGTCCAACCGCTTTCTTGGCTAAAGAGTCGGCAATGCGATTACCTTTACTCCTGTCGTGCCCTTTAACCCACCTCAGAATAATGTTATTATCTACCGAGGCTTTGGCTGAATCTTGGTGGCACTCTAGTACTAGCCCTGAGGTAACACGTTGTTTGTTCAAGGCTAATAGGGCTTGTCTGCCGTTAGTGCAGATTGTTATGTTTTTGCCAGAAATTCCTTTCCTGATTATTTCTTTTGTGGCGATTGAGATACCAACCAGTTCTGTTTAAACCACGCTGGTGTTTTTCCCATTCTCCACCTAATCCTTAGGCCTAGTGATCTGGAGTACACTCCACATCCTGAGCCCTCTTTGGTTTTTGAGCCATCTGTATACATGCGTATTGCATTTATAGCATCTGACTCTGTGTTCTGTTTTATTTGTATTTTGTATGGTTTGTTAAACACAAACCTGGGTTCAACAGCAACAATTATGGTTAGTGTTTGCCTATCTACTGATAAAAACATTGTACTTACTGTGATGGCATGTTTTAGCACAGCCTTTCCTCCGAAAGATTTAATCTTTGTTCTGGTATCGATGTGACTCAAGTCCTCAGCTACTGCACATATGTTGTTGTTCTTATCGTAGAGGCGCAGCTCCCCAATGAAAGGATTTTGCTTCAACAAGAGAGCGATATAACGTCCGATTTTGCAATAGGCATCTAGAACTGTCACGACGTAACCTTTTTGGCGAAAAGAGTTGGAGCAGTGTCTTATGTCGACATAAAAAAGTGATTTTGCGGTTTTCTTAAAAATATCTGATACTGTAGGGGCAATCATGCTACTGGAATTTTATATGTGAGGAGTTGTCAAAACTGACAGATTCAAATGCAATCGAGCTACAGGTCCCCACATTTTCGGTGAATGTCAAACGCATGATAAAGTCCGACACAAAACGATAAGTTTTATAGAAAAAGAACAGTTCAATTCTGTAGTGAGTTGTGATGTAAATAAACAACAAGGTATTTGTATAATTGAGTTCTCTCATTTGCCCATTTGAAAGAAAGAATATAGGGTATTTAATTAAACTCTTCCTATCTTCAATTTTGAATTGAACAAATTGTGTGAAATATTTTTCAACATAAGCCATTTCTGCATATGTCGATGCAAATATTGCGAATTTTTAAATCTATTGATTTATAAACATTCCAAAAAGATGGTTTTGAACCTAGCTCTTCAAAATGTGAAATGTAAGACATAGTTTGTATAAATTGAATACATTTTCTCATTGAAAAAAAACATGTCTATTCTGTTTTATATATTTTTAAAGCTCTTCCTATTTGTTCCATATAAAGCTTCGGAGAACCACATAT